GGTGGGAGGATGGGTTAGCCTGGTGATGGGTATTGAGGAGGGCACGTTCTGCATGGAGCACTGGGTGTTATGCACAAACAATGAACCATCCATGGAACACTACATCTAAAACTAATGATGTAATGTATGGGGATTAACATAAGAATAAAAAAATTAAAAATAAAGAAATAAAGAAATAAAAATTAAAAAAGAAACTATGTTCTCCTGACTGCAAATGTCAACCTACCATTCATTTACATTACGATGTCCTCATAAAATTGTTATGAGAGATGCTTGTGACTTTTTCGCCCTAAGTTTATATAACAAAGTTAATTAAAAGCGAGATTCTTATGTTCATAAGGAACTAAAACATTTTCTGAATTACAACTCTAAGAATAAGAACATTTTGTATAGATCCTGATTCAATTCAAGTCACCTGGGACCCATTCATAGGAAAATCATTCAATAATCAACAATCGTTTGAGTTTCCTTGTGGGCAATGTGGACAGCTACTGCATCACAGAACGATTCTCACTCCTGAGTCAATATTTAATTATTTTGTCTTAACACCCTTGTGTATCACTGAAATACATGGTGAGTAAGTATGATTAAGCCACAAACACAGCAACCTCCAAAGGCCTCTGTTTAAAGGGAAGTGAGAATTTTTAAAATAATAGTATTCCATAAAATACTCTTGATCTCTAATGAACTTCTCATGTCTGTGATCCTCATGGAGCCAATGCTTTGGTATTTTAAAAGCAAGCTCCTGTCATCGGCTGTCTCGTCACCCAGGTGTAAGATTTCTAAACAGTCAACTTCACAATTCATATTTGCTTTGCAGAGCTTACTAACTTTTGCTATTCTATGCTTAATGGACTTCTCTGAGTGGAAATAGTTTTTCAAACTATAAACCCAAGAGAATGTGGGTCACAGTAAAGTTAATTATTTCCCCACTCAAATTAGATGTGGAACAGCAAGAAGGAAGGGTCGCTCTGAGGTGACGCTGGGATGGGGGGCCTGTCCCTCACGGACATGGTGCAGACACGTGGCACACACAAAGGGGGCCCTCTCAGCTGCCTGCCTTACTTCATTACAGTGAGAATCGCCATTATTCGGTTGCAGACTCTGCAAGTCTTTTTAAAAGAAAATACATCCGACTTTAAGTTAAAAGTTTTTAAAAACATCAAAGGCAAATATGAGCAATTTGGGAAATTGTCAGTGCCAATATAATACCTTTAAGGTAGTGTATGCATGCAAATCATTATTAAAAAAAAATCTGTAATGAGTAGAAAGGAAAAAATTCCAATTCAAATAATGATCTAAAAAGTTTTACCACTTATACTATGCTGAAAGTTACATATATCCCCCATATATGACGAGTAAAGCATTTGCCATAAGACTGAATTAATTTTCATGTCTTATGAATATAAAATATTAACTGTGTTGAATACTCACTTGGATCTTCTTATACACCAGGACTCTTCTAGAATGTAATAATTCACTTGTAACTTTATCAATTCTCGCTTCACTTCTTCAGCTGCTTTTCGACTATACATTGAGTAAACTATTTTCGTTCTGGCTCTTTAAAGAAAAATAATTGGGCAGAAGATTTTCAAGATTAAAAGGATGCAATCAATCTATTTGGAAGAAAGCACTGAATGGGAACAAGAAGAAAGACTGCAGAAGAGTCAGGTCAAGAGAACATTCTTCACAGAGTTCCTGCTCAGGGGCATCGGGGAGGTCAAAAGAAAAAGGCAGAAGCACAGCATAAGAGTCCTGGGAGAAGAGGTTCAGTTTAAGGCATCCCTGCATTTCCAAACTTAGTCTTTTTGTTTGTTTGCTTGCTTGGTTTAGTTTTGTATTCTCCATGACCCCATCATACGTGAGAGGAAGGCATGCCGTGTGTGGATGAACACAAACACAGCTACCAGACCACGTTAAAGCTACACCGCAGTCCCAACTATGACGCAGCCAGAACTGGCATTCACAGCTCTCTGTTTTATTCCTAGATTAAAAAACAAAACAAAACAAAAACCCAAAAAAACAACAACTAAACTTATTCAACACAACTGTTCTGGAAATAAGCTTACTGAGATTGATTTTTAGTGAAAAGATTTTTTATTTATAAAATAGAAGTTTCACTGTTACACAAAAGAACAGATTAATAGGATTCGCCCAGTCACTTAGGAAATGAATAGCTTGACCTAACCCAGAAATTGCATGAAAATTAAGTCTATGTCCTTTTCAAAGAGAACACAATACTCTAACTTATGAAAAATATAAAAAACAAAAACCAAGACCATTCTAGTAGGCTATATGGGTGAAAATCAGAATAAATTCAAATCTCTGAATGGGATTCCATCAACTGACTCCTCAGAATTCAAGAAAAATAGCCAAAAGGAAACCTTAATAAAAGATAGAGGCTCATGAATCTTCTGGGGAGCTTAAGGAGGGTGATGACTAATAAGGACCTGGGTGTCTTGCAATGCACTTCACCTGCAGAAGACAGACATGCTATGATTTCATTTTGCTGCCTAGTAGAGAAGAGAACCCCAGAGGTTGTAGTTTTATTGCCCAATAAACAGTTTTGTATCTGACTCAGCCCTCTTATTTCAGCATTGTTTTCTGCCCTAATTCTATAAATCCCCATTTGCCACAGCCTCCTGGAAACACTCATTATTTTACTGGTTCCCTCACTCAGGATTTGTGTGAGAAATTTGTTTTGGGTGATGTGAGAACTGTGTACTAACCTTAAGCCTGCATCTTCATAATGCGGATGATTCACAATGGGCCGAAGCGCAGAGAGCTTCACACTTGCCATTGTGGGCATGGCACCTGCAAACACTGCGTCTGCAAAGCAGGAAAGACGGTCTCAGGAAGACACTCAGTGAGCGTTACAAGGGTCTCCTTCTGGTCAACTCGGTCACTTCCCAGGTGAGAAAGTGGAAGCCCAGAGAGGTTCACGACTTAAAGATTCAATGGAAGAACCAGACTGAAGTCAGCTGGCTGGTAAAATGGCTATCAGCCCCCTGGCTTGGATAAACCATTTTCTTTGGAAGTTAGGGCCTCCTCCTTTCATCAGTGAGGATTCCTGGGGCTTTGTTTGTTTGTTTGTTTGTTTGTTTTTGTAATGTCTTAGGAATCTGTCCTGCTTCTAGGAAAGAAGTTTAACGAATTGGCTAGGAAAGTTTTATAGCACCAAGGAATTCTGGGAAATGATTTAAAATTCAGTCATTTGATACTCAGATAACAACAAAATCTCCCTTGAATAAAGTGTCATATTCCACGAGTTCACTTCAAGAAGGAATGTGCAAGACTAAGATTAAAACTCATTAGGAAAATAAGCACAACAAAAATTATTTTAAATCATGCCACATAAAACTTGGGATAAATTCTGAAAAAACATTAGAATTTATGGAAAAAAGCAAAATAGGTTACTAAGAAAATATAACATTTCCTTTGCAAACCATTTAAGTAAGATTGACATCTCCCTTTTTCTGAATAATCTAGAAGCAGCACTGCTTAGAAAGAGTGAGGTCATTGGAAGTAATGTGGGTTTAAGATTTTGCTGTGGCATATAAAACTATGGGGGAACCTTACCTGGTTTAGTACTGTATTTGATCCATTCTATAAGTTCTTCTTGTGGCAAATTGCTGAACTCCCCTACAATATTCCACTGGGTTTGCAGATTTGCTGAACCTTGTATTGACATTGCTGCTAATACAGCAAAAACAACAGCCCCAGGATGTACTTTGCAAAAGAGCCATCCAAACAGCTGAAACCAAATGCAGAATACATTGATAATTGTTAGTACAAAGCAGCCTGCATCCAATAAACAAAAGTTCTTCCCAGAGAAGAACGCAGTGTCTGGCAGACTCCCAGATAAAGGACTAATTATTCTAAGAAAAAGTTCCAGAAACAATGACCAGAGGGATTAAAAGAATTTGGCCATTAGCCTTACATAGGTGGGACATAATTTAAGAAGCGGTTCTCTCAACTTGTTCTAATTCCAGGTTCAGGTAAAGCCAGGACCACCTACATAATTTGCCAGGCCCAATGCAGAATGAAAATATGGGGCCTCTTGTTCAAAAATTATTTAGAAGTTCAAAAGAACAACAGAAGAGCATCCAAGTAGGTGTAGGGTCCTTCTGAGGGTGGGCCATGTGTTCGCAGAGGTCCCACACCTGTGAAGCCTTCCCCGGGGCAAGGTTCTTCTGCAGTCATGGTGCAGGCTGGGATTTAAGACGCAAGGCTTCCCATTAGCCTCCTTTCCTGTCCCAGCCTGGGGCAGTCAGGAAGAGTGGCTTCCTCCCTAAGCTGGCCTCCAGTAAGCATTGCCTCTCTAACACAACACCACCATTCTGACTGGGAACCTTGAGGCTGACTGATTTTTCCATTCAAATAGTCCACACGCAATAACACTTTGTCCCTATCATTCTCTCTTTAAGTTCTCTATATGTCTGTAGAACTAGATCCAGCTTTTTGAGGGAATATATATATATATTTTTTTGCTTTTTGATTTTTCTATTTACCATTCTACCCTCATCTCCAGAGCGTGCTGTAGATGCTTAGTAAATATTTGCTAAATGTAAGAGAGCTACTGCTGCTGCACCTTGGCTAATGGTCTGATGAAAAGGGGACACTGTGTAGAAGCATAAATCTGTGGATACAGAGCAAGGAGGCAGTTAGCCAGGAAATATAAGTAGCAAATAACCAAAACGGCTAACACTAAATTTTAAAAAGTCAAGTCAGGGATGTGCATACAAATGTATACTCAAATGAAAAAAAATATTTTTTAGGCCTGATACCGAAAAAGAACATCTATTTGAAAGTACCTGCAACTTGAAATCACTGGTTAGAATTCTTTGGGGTAGGAATATCAAAACAACAATAAATTATTTCTACAATGAAGCTCTGTTTTCTATCAACATCTGTAGTAATCACTCATGAATTCAGCCTACACTACTTGAGTATTCACTGTACGCCAAAGACTATTTTAGAATAAATGACCTGCCTTGGCCTTTGCCCTTTAGGAAAGGTTAATACAAAACCATGAAGTACTTTCACTACAACAGTTTAAAGAATTTTGAGTAATTCAGTATTATTTTAGGGGGCCACTCAATAACCAAGGCGGGGGTAAAGTGATCATAGCAGCTCTAATGCCAACATAACAACCATCTTACCTGTCTTGAACAGATCAAGGAAGCCATAACACACATGTGTGGTGTCAAGAAGAGTTTTAGTCTCATAATCAAGATACCGAGGACTGTATATGCTAACAGTTGCAATGCATGATAAACTAGCTGAAAGAAAGAGAAAATATTTTTTCACTCCTACTATTTGTGAAGTTTAATATATTGTTAAATAGATGAATATCCAGAAAAGGGTGCTTTTTCTTAGTAACAATATTGTGGTTTCTGAAATAAACGAGTCTTAAAATTCACTTTCAAACTGCTCTATCCTTTTTTTTTTTAATCTTTTAAAAGACAAGGGAGGGAGGGAGGGAGAGAGGGAAGGGAAAGGGAAAGGGAAAGGGAAAGAGAAAAGAAGGAAGAAAGAAAAACAGGTGGCATCACCAGGAGAGGGAAGCAGCAACCATTCACACAATAAACCAGATCATCGTGAGGATGATCAGAGCAGATGAAATGGGCTTCCTACTTAACTGCTTTAACAAATGAATGGTCGTGTTTGTAACAGTCTCATAAAAACACATACAGACCTATTTTGAAGATGATTAGTGACAATTACCAATACTTAAAAACTGGAACTAGAAAGAAAAGTCCAAATATACACAAAATTTTAGTAATATTGAGTCTTTACCTCTCCATGATCAAACTGGTGTTTTCTGAAATGGAATAAGAAATACTACTATTGAATCATTACTGAAGCATTGACTTCAATTATTTGCATTATTATCTTACAAATATGAGTTTTACAACTTGCATAATATTCCAAGGACACGTATATGTAAATAAAAATAACTAACAGTTACGAACCGAAACTGGTGCCACAATCTTTTAAAAGACAGTTGACTTTGCATACCCTGCACGTTTGACTACATGGACAATTACTGGCTCAACAAAAGGCACACTGTGGTGTATGAGATACCTCCCTGGGGATATTCTGGCAAAGCAGGGAGTGAAGGGAAGCCTGAAGCCTTCATACTTCCATACCCCTGCTTCTCGTCACCAGTGGTCCCTGAGCTCCCCCATAAACTGTAGCTGCTACAGAGATCATTTAGGAAACCACACATGAAAGATGTTTTCAGCAGCGGCTATGGAATATACAAATAGCCACTTCAGTTTTGCTTGACAGTTTCAATTTCCTGAGAAGGATACATGCTTAAAGGCCCATATACCCTCCCTACATCTCCCTCTGACCCCACACCACCCCTTCCCGGCCATCCCGTTTCAATTATCATCACAGTGGTGCCAGCAATTTTTTGAAAATGGTAATCTAGTCATGCCAATTCCTTACTTAAAACCCTCCAGTGGATTCCTTTTGTAATGAGAATAAACTCTCAAAGCCTTACCATGCTGCACATGTTCTTCCTACTTCTCGTTCTTGAAACTCATTGTCTACCGCGTTCCCTCTTGGTCACCGTGCTCCAGTCACACAAGACTAATCTTACTCCCTCAAACATCAGAGAGACTCCCATATTCAGTGCCCCTCTCCATAATCACTCCTACTCCATTTCCCTGTCTTATCTCCTCAAAAGTGAACACAGTTCACTGGTTTGATTACCATCTGTCTCGCCCTACCAAAATGAACCCCTCGGGACTACAGGGTACAAACCCACCCATCCTCAATTTCATTGAGCACTGATAACAGTGGAGATACAGCAGGAAATAAGACAGGAAAATACCTTTGCCCTCAAAGAGCTTACATAGAAGTCAAGGGAGACAAACAAAAAGCAAAGGAGCAAAAGTCACACGGTGATAAGTACTGTGGAGAGAAAGGAAGCAGGGCAAAAGGTGCCAGGAATGCTGGGTGACCAGGAAGGTGTATGTCAATCTATATGGTCACCAACTGAGTGACATGTGAGCAAGGCCTGAAGGAGTGGAGGGTTTGAGGTTGAGCATCCCTCAGGCAGAGAGAGAGCCAGTACAGAGCCCCATAGCAGGAAAGTCCTTAAGGGGTTAACTCCAAAGACAGCAAGACTAGAGAAGAGCGAGGTGGAAGAGAATGGTGGTGCCCCAGGAGACAGGCAGCACACCAGTGTTCAAGTATAAAGGGTGATAAATGCTGAGAGAGAAGATAAAGCATGAGATAACGGCGAATAACAAGCAAGGAGACAAGGAATCTCCTCAGAAGTGATGGTCAGGAAAGGCTTCTTGAAGGAGGTGACGTTTAAACAAGAATTAAAGGAGTGGGTCACATGCAGAGCCAGGCTGTGGGGAGCGGAGGGCACAACCAGGGCAAAACTGCAGAGGCAGGAAACAAGCCGCCATGGTTAAAGAACAGAAAGCAGGACCATGGGACATGTAGCAGAAAAGAGAAAAATGAGAATTTATTTTTCTCTCAGTTGCCTCTTTGTGTCCTTCACTCATTTTTCTAATGGGGTTTTAGCATTTTTCCTATTAATCTGTAGAAGTCCTTTATGTATGCCAGTCATTAGTCCTTTGTCATATATTGTGAATATTTTCCCCAATTTGTCTTTTTCTTTGAACAATGTTCACAGTATCTTATCAAACCAAAATACTTATCTGGTCAGCCTTTTCAATCTTTCCTTCTAGCTTACAGGCTTTATGTCATACTTAACAAGGCCTCTCTAATGCTAAAATTCTAAAAATAATCTCTTGGTTAATATTGGGGTTTTATTTTTTTCCTACATTTAAATCTTTGCTCCATCTGAAATTTAGTTTGTGTAAAACATGAAGTATGGAATCAGTTTTATATTTCCCTGCTCTTCTCTCAAAAGACAGTCCATTGGTCCTAAAACCATCAACAGAATAATTTATTTTCCCTGCTAAACTGAAGCACAAAGCTGTGTCCTTCACATATAGATTATGTGTAGGCCTACCGTAGGAGTGTACGGATGGAATTTGAAGTATGAATAAGTGATGTTCTGAGCTCTGCACAGATAGGGAATAATGAGAAAAGCAAAGAGGAATGACAATCAAAAACACCAGTTATCAAATGTTGAGTGCAACAGGAACTATAAAAATACATCGTAAATATCTACTTAATAATGTAACAAAATGATTAATAGCATATTTACCTTATATGTGCCTGTTGTTTAGTTAAGACACCCCACATGTCACTAATAATCTGCAAATAGATTTTTTAACACTTTAGAAGAGCTGTGTTGGGAAAAACAAAATTTCAACTAAAGTATCTTCTAAACTTTCAAACTTCTACTTAAAAATATGATAAGTATGGAGCTAAGAGATAACTCAGGACGTAATTATAACACCATACTCTTCCATTTATACAGTACTTGATCATATCTAATAGCCAACAGCCCTGTATTGTAGATTGTATTATCCTCATTTTGTAAATGAGCAAGAGGCTCAGATGGATTAAATGATCTCCCAGAAGGTGGACAACAACCAGGAGGCATTGCTAAGCCCTGAAACCTGACCTTCTTTCTGGCTTCCAGTTCACATGTAGAATTCCACCAGGCCAAGGTTGTTGGCGATGCCTCTCCTTAATCATATATACACATATCTGGACAACAGGCTCAGAGACTGATAAGGACAACTAACCAAACACTGAGTTTGCATATTGAGCAGCAACTGGAAGGTCATCAAATCTGAATCCTATCCCCAGTGTGAGTGTCCTCTAGGACACCGCTGACAGGTTTTCATCCAGCTCTTGGAAGAACCACCCAACTGCTGCTTGAGTCTGTAACACTTTCTTAGTCAGCCCAGATCAATTCTGGTCAAAAATCCTTCCCCCTAGAATTGGCCATGACTCTAAAGAGCCAAAACGAGTGTAATCTTATTTCCAAGTGGCAGGCTTTTAAATATTTGAAAATAATTATCCTTTTTCCCTTTGAATCCTTCTTCTTTAAATCAAACATCTCAGTTTGCATCATCTCTAGCCATCCAGGTTGCTGTCTTTTTAATGCATTCTGAATTGCCAACGTTGGTATTCTTTGATTACCTACTGGGTGCACACCCACATAAGGTATGCAAAAGGCAAAGGAAGCACAGAGTGGCACAGAGCAGAAACTGACTGACTATAAACTCATTAGATTTGAAAAGCTTGTGGGACTACAAAGCTGAACACGACACAACACCCAGTAAGGGGGGAAAGGTGCCGAGTTTGATTCTTGCTATTCCCTTGCTTTTTAATGGACATGATGTGAGGCTGGCAACAACCTCTCTGATCTTCTAAAGCTGCATCTGTCAAAATGGAGATAATAATATCCCCTACAGGGCTGTCAAATAAGCAGGTGCAATAACACATGTGATATGTTCAGGGAGAGTACAAATATATAATGTGAACAATAATTATAGTACAGAATATTCTACAAATATATAACATTGTGTTAACACAGAAATTACTAACTACGAATCAGAAAACCTTTAGGGTCTATCATCTGTTTTTTGATTACAGATTAATCTTTATTCATTCTCTTAAAACACTTGCAGTTACAGAATTCACCAACTGTTAAAAGAAAAAAGAGAATATCATACCTGCTCTTGGCTAAAGACTGGAACTTCCCTGACCTGATTTAAATCTGGGCTTAGAATTTCATTATCAAAGCCAAGTTGGGAGTCTAACAATTTTATCGATGTTGGTAATACATTATTAATATTCTATTTTTTTGATCAGTAACAATAAACTCGATCCAGGAGTTTGTGAGCAATGCACAGATGACTTAGAATGGCATACATTAAATATTTTAGTGAAATATTACATAAAGCTAAAAGTCAGTCAGTAATAATTTACAAAGAGAAAAATAACTGTATCTGGGTCAATATGGTCTCTTTGATCATGTCTTTCAAAAATACATGACTACCAAAACTCGAGCCATCCTTTTCCTACGTCTATTTTATGCTGGCAGATAGTAGAATATTTTTAAGGCTTGTAAATGTTCATCAAGGGCTAGGAGTAAGAAAATACAGAATATGTTTCAACAAATCCATATAAAACATCATGTCATATTAACATGTAACTTAATATACTTAACTATTAGGTAGAAACAAGAAAGTGCTTTATTATAAGAAAGAGCTCTTAAAGATAGTAGGAAAAATGAAGGGGGGGAATCGGAGGGGGAGACAAACCATGAGAGACTATGGACTCTGAGAAACAAACTGAGGGTTCTAGAGAGGAGGGGGTGGGGGGATGGGTTAGCCTGGTGATGGGTATTAAAGAGGGCACGTATTGAAGGAGCACTGGGTGTTATACACAAACAATGAATCATGGAACACTACATCAAGAACTAATGATGTAATGTATGGTGATTACCATAACATAATAAAATTTAAAAAAAAAAGAGCTCTTAAAGAGCGCCTGGATGGCTCAGTCGGTTGAGCATTTTGGTTTTGGCTCAGGTCATGACCTCAGGGTCATGAAATCAAGCCCTGCATCTGGCTCTGCACCCAGTGGGAGTCTGCTTGAGATTCTCTCTCTCTCTCCCTCTGCCCCTCCCCTCTAGCCCACTCTCTAAATAAATTAATTAAAAAAAAAAAAGAAAGAGCTCTTAAGTGACAAGCCTTTTTTTAATTTTATTTTATTACGTTAGTCACCATACAATACATCATTAGTTTTTGATGTAGTGATCCACAATTCATTGTTTTCGTATAACACCCAGTGCTCCATGCAGTACGTGCCCTCCTTAATACCCATCACCGGGCTAATCCATCCCCCCACACCCTTCCCCTCTAAAACCCTCAGTTTGTTTCTCAGAGTCCATAGTCTCTCGTGGTTCATCCCTCCCTCCGATTTCCCCCCCTTCATTTTTCTCTACAGTCACACCACCCTGAACGCGCCCGATCTTGTCTGACAGACCTACCTTTTTAACTATTGCAATAAACACAACCAGAACGACTGGAAGCAACAATGTCTTTGTATACCTCAGTGGAGTCTGAAATTCAAAGAGATGTTTTGAAAATATGATTTTCAGATAAATTTCATTTTAAATAATGAACAAAATGAATTTTAATAAGTATATACAGAGCCTTCACCCATCTAGGGTCCATCCAATATACCCACTTACTCCCATCATAAAAATGAAGATGCACTTCCATAGAAACAAACTTCCCCAAAATGTTGAGTTGAAAACACAAATAAACACAGTCCCCAAACACTTGTAAGTATAAAATGTGACTGGGACTGGAAAGATTATTGTTCCCTCTTTGCACACTACTTTTCTAACTAGAGAACTCAACTTAATATTCACCTAAGGTCAGCAGAACTCCTTTAAATGGCATGCGCTTTTCCTGTACATTTGGTGGGGGATAAAGATCTTAACCATTATCCCAAGAGACACACACACACACACAAAATAATGACCAATATTTACAAGAGAAATAAAAACATTTTTACCTTTTCTTAATAAGAACCACAGAAACATTTAATAACAAACCCCTACACATTGCAATCCTATATATTTCTCAATCATTTGACGTCACAGTCTTAACTCTAGGCTTGAAATTTCTCAATTGCAATTGATTTGCTTACCACCAACATTTACCCTCACAAAAATAATCTTGTATTATTGAGTTAAATAATGTATACTTTCCCAAATATGTTTATCAAGAGGAATCTAGCTTTAACCGTTTTAAAAAACACTGGTACATTTTAATCCTACAAAATATAAGGAGTATTTTCTGACTTTCCCTCTAATTAGTCCACTTTTCTTGCTTGTTATTCTGTATTAGAAAAGTAATTTTGATAATTTATTAACCCCAAATGCATACTTCACAGTTCGAAGTCCCATTAAAAGAAGATTTTTTGTTTTTATTTCACTATTTACCTTTATAAACATTTGCACAGTACTTAATCTTTTAAAATACATTTATTTCTATTTTGTAAATTTGTAATTGTCTTAACCTAATCAAAAATCATATAACCAAAAGTATTTTATTATTCAAAAATTTAGATATTTGCTAATAACAGCTAACAATAAATGTAAGAAAAGTTGTGAGATATAGGGTTTACCTTAAAAAGGCAGTGTGTCAAAATTGCTTTTAAAGTATTTAACAAAATTTAACAAAGAATTCAAACAATTTTAAAATTATATTCCAAAACTTTGTTTTTGTTTTTAAGATTTTATTTATTTATTTGACACAGAGAGAGAGAGAGAGA